CAATTTGAAAAACTTGGTCTTTAACACATCATCTGTAAGTGGTTATTAGTGTTTAGGCTGTAGTTGAGGGGTTTGGAGCAAAGATTAAATTCAAGCAATATAGAACAGAGGACAAGAGATATGTCTTTATGCTGCGAATTATGAGGCTGTGTAATCTGGTTTCTGCCTCGACCACTGACCCTGAAACTCAAAATCAGCTTGGATAAAATGGATGAATGACAATGAGCTTGGACTATTTGCTCGTCAGAAGATTGTACTGACATGGCCTGGTAGGGCAGAATGGTCTGTTTCCATGTTGTAACCTCTCGGTACATGTATGTGAGGGCAGCACAGTGGCTCAGTGGTTAGCACTGCTGCCTCACAGCGCCAGGGGCCTGGGTTCGATTCCACTCTCGGGCAACTGTCTGTGTGGAGTTTGCACATTCTCCCATGTCTGCATGGGTTTCCTCACACAGTCCAAAGATGTGCAGGCTAGGTGGATTGGCCATGCTAAATTGCCTGTAGTGTTCAGGGATGTGTAGATTAGGTGGGTTATATGGGGATGGGTCTGGGTGGGATGCTGTGACAGTCGGCGTGGACTTGTTGGGCCGAAGGGCCTGTTTCCACAACTACTGCTTCAACTCCTCCTACTTCCTACAGACTAAGGCCATGGGAACCCACATGGGCCCAAGCTATGCCTGCCTCTTCGTAGGATACGTGGAATAGTCCCTCTTTCGCAGCTACACTGGCACTATCTCCCACCTCTTCCTCCGCTACATCGATGACTATCGGCACTGCCTCGTGGTCCCACGAGGAGCTTGAACAATTCATCAACTTTACGAATACCTTTCACCCTAACCTCAAGTTCACCTGGATCATCTGATACTTCTGTCTCCTTCCTGGACCCCTCTGTCTCCATCTCTGGTGACCGTCTCGAAACCGACATCTATTTCAAGCCCACCGACTCCCACAGCTACCTCGACTACACCTCCTCACACCCACTTTCCTGCAAGAATGCAATCCCTTACTCCCAATTTCTTCACCTCTGCCGTATCTGCTCCCAAGATGGGGTGTTCCACTCCCGAACATCCCAGATGTCCTCTTACTTCAAGGACCGCAACTTACCCCCTTTGGTGGGCGAAAGTGCTCTTGAACGCATCTCTTGTGTTTCCCGCACCTTGGCCCTCGCATCCCCTCCCTGCAACGAAAACAAAGACAGAATGACCCCACTAACCTCCGTATTCAACATATCATTCTCCACCACTTTGGCCACCTGCAATCTAACCCCGCAACCAAAGATATATTGCACCCCCCCCCCCCCCTCTTTCTGCGTTCCATAGGGACCGTTCTGTCCACAACTCCCTCGTTCGCTCCACACTCCCCACTAGCCCCACCACCCCGCCACCTATCCCTGCAACTGCAGGAAGTGCTACACCCCCCCCCTCACCTCCATCCAAGGAACCAAACAAACCTTTCAATCAGACAGAGGTTCACCTCCACATCTGTCAATGTGGTCTATTGCATCCGCTGCTCCCAATGTGGCGGCCTCTACATCGGTGAGAACAAGCAGAGGCTTGGAGACCTGTTTGTAGAGCACCTGCGCTCTGTTTGCGACAAACGTCAACACCTTTCTGTCACGAACCATTTCAACTCCACCTCCCACTCCCTGGACGACGTCCATCCTGGGCCGCCTCCAGTGTCACAATGACGCCACCTGAAAATTGGAGGAGCACACTTCATATTTCGCCTTGGGAGCTTACAGCCCAATGGTCTCAATGTGGACTTTACCAGTTTCAAAATCTCCCCACCCCGGCCTCATCCCTGTATCCTTGACTTGACACAATCTGTCCATCTTCTCTCCCACCTATCCACTCCTCCCACCTCACTGGCCAATCCTCACCATTCTCTACCTGCACTGACCTATCACCATCCTACCAACCTTCCCCAGCCCCACCCCTCCTCTCTTTATTTCCCAGCTCCCTTCTCCCTCCCCCATTTCTGAAGAAGGGTCCCGACCCAAAATGTCAACTTTCCTGCTCCTCTGATGCTGCCTGGCCTGTTGTGTTCCTTCAGCTCCACACTGTGTTACCTCTGACTCCAGCATCGGCAGTTGTTACTATCTCCATGTTATAATTGCTGTGTTCAATTATGGGGAAATGCTATCAGATCAAATTCCCTGTATGAACTTTGTATACAGAACTCATCATTCCGCGGATTGGGTCTAACAGTCCCTCAACATAATAAATAGCTGTGTTGTCACAAATAAAAGCAAAGTATTGTGAATGCTGGAGATCAGAAATAAAAACAAAATGCCAGAGAAACCTAGCAGGTCTGGTAGCATCTGTGGAAAGAGCAACCGAGCTAACATTTGAAGTCCAGTGACTCCTTTTCAGAATGGTTGTCTCTATGCACAGAAAAAAATGTCGTCAATATGGATAGATTTAACAACAATCTTGTTTTAATATAGCATGATTTATACATTGATGTTAAATATACCAAATATATTGATGAGGGTAGTGTAGTTGATGTGGTTTACGTGGACTTCAGTAAGGCCTTCAACAAGGTCCCACATGGAAGACCGGTCTGAAAGTTAAGAGCCCATTGGATCCAAAGTAAGCTGGTAAACTGGATTTGAAAATTGGCTAACAGATAAGAGGCAAAGGATGATGGAGTGTTGTTTTAGTACTTGGAAGCCTGTGAGCAGCAGCATACCACAGGATTCAGTGCTGGGACTTTGCTGTTTGTTATGTATGTTAACAACTTAGATGTGAATGTAGAAGGTTTAATTAGTAAATTTGCAGATGACACGAAAATTGGGAGTGCTGTTGATAGTGAAGTGAGTGGTGTGAGGCTACAGTCTAAAAGTGGTCAGCCGGAAAATTGGACAGAGCGATGGCAGATGGAATTTGATACCAGTAGGTTTGAGGTGATGCATTTTGGGAGGTCTAAAAAGGGAAGGATATATGCAATGATTGTTGGTTCCTTTGGGAGAATTGAGAGGAAAAAACCATAGAAGCTATCAGCATATGTGTACAGGGCGGTGGAGATGGCATATGAGATGGTTGCCTCCATTAGTCAGGATATAGAATGTAGGAGCAAGGAGCTCGTGTTAGAACTTTATAAAGCGTTGTTTAGGCCTTGTGCACTTTTGGTTGCCATACTCTCAGAAGGATGTGATTGCATTGGAGATGGTGCAGAGGAGATTCACCAGGATGTTGCCTGTGATGAAAAGTTTCAGTTATGAAGAGAGACTAGATAGACTGGGTTTGGTTTCCTTGGAGCAGAGGAGACTGAAAGGGGGATCTGATTGAGGTATACAAAATTGATGGGCATAGAGAGAATAGATCATGAGAATGTCTTCCCCATGGTAGATGTATCTAAAACAAGAGGGCAGAAGTTTAAGGTGAGTAGTAAGTGATTTAGAGGACATCTGCGAAAATTCTTTTTCACCCAGAGGATGGTTAATGTATGGAACATGTTGTCTGAGAAGGTGTTGGAGGCAGGTAGTCTTGCAACACTTAAGCATCTGGACGAGTACTTAAAATGCTGGGATAAAGCACACTTTGCACCAAGTGCAGGTAAATGGGATTAGTTTAGTTTGGTGTTTGTTGGTCAGCGTAGACATGGTGGGCCAAAAGGCCTGTTTCTGTGCTGTATGACTTTATGACTCTATATTGTTTGTAATAAAACATCCCATGTTCCTTTGCAAAGTGATTATAAAACAAAACATGACAATCAATTAAGGATCACAAAGGAGGAAAGTGAGTGATGGACACAGAGGTCTTGGGAGGGAATTCTGCAGCTTAGGGTGAAGGTAACTGATGGCTTGTCTGCAGTGGCAAAGCATTAATATTAGTAACGTTCATGAAACCAGAATTGGAGAAGCATAGATTTTGGAGTGTTGGAGGAAGTTACTTAGATCGGGAAAAGTGTGGAGTGGTTGAAGGCCATTTAAAGATTTGAAACCAGGGATACACATGTCAAAATTGTGTCACTGATGAGCATGTGCCAGTGTAGGCCATAGAGCTCAGGTGAGATGGGTGAATGAGATTTTACAAGTTAGGGCTAGGTGACAAAATTTTTTTGATGACCTTTTAAAGTCTTGGAGGAGTGAATGCACAGGATAGTCAGAGTTAATTAAAATGCCCAAGGCTTGAGGTATCAAATATATAAACAAGTGTTTCAGCAGAAGAGCTGAGTCAGGAGGGAAGTTGGGTGATTGTCCATTTCCACCTCCATAACAATCTTGGTCTGGTGCGGTTTTGTGATGAAAAAGCTTATCTTGTGGTCAGGAATGATAGAGGTTATGACATTGAGTGTTTCAGTCTCACATATCAGAAAGAAGGATGAAGCTGGTAGCAAATGATGTGACGTGAAGTGAATTATTATCGTGATGACAATCCTGACAAGGGGACTTGGAAATTTGGGCTGATTTAGTGGCCCCTTTCTTGTTTCAGTTGCCAAACTGAAGAAGTTGTCTTTTCCGTTGTAGATGATGTCTTTAAATGAAATAAATATTTGAGTAGGACTTTCTTGGCTAGCATTGTGAATAATAATCGCTAGGATTTGAATGCAGGGAAAAGCTTGCATTATATCCATATGAATACTGCAAAACACCAGTTTAGCATTTTGACTTTCAGAACTTGTCATGTTAAGACTGTGTTGTAACAATTCAGTGGATTGCTGGTGACAGGGCTGTCATTCAGTGGAAGAAATTTGAAATAATGAATTAATTCATAAACAGTGTGCGCAACTATGGTGACACGCACATACTTGGGTGCCAATTTTGATTTATTTATTTATTTAGTTTTCCCCTTTTCATTGTATGTCAAAACTGTATCTAGATAAACTCAACGATAACCCCAGGGCATTGATGATATTGGATTGTTAGAATTAATTGAACCACTTCATAATGGCATTAAAAGAAAGGTGGGATAACGGTTACCAAACAGGAGGTAATTGACTTTGATCTGTCTGTTCCTCATTGGGGGTTTAATGCCTTTTTCCTATGCCCCATTTAGCAGTAACACAATGTCACACTACACAGATGAGCCCAGGTTTACAATCGAACAGATTGACTTGCTGCAGCGACTTCGGAGGAGCGGGATGACAAAACGTGACATAATCCACGCGCTGGAGACCTTGGACCGACTTGACCAAGAGCACTCTGAGAAATTTGGCAAACGGCACAGCTACAACAACAGTTCCCACAGCAACAGTAACAACGTCCCTGCTTCATCCTCGACAGTCACAGCCGCGACACAGACACAGTACAGTGGCGCATCGCCATCTCCGAGTAACAGCTATGACACCTCACCACCACCGTGCAGTACTAACCTGAATGGGCGGGAGAGCTACAGCAACGAGAAACTGCCAGTGGCCAATGGCAGGCTGTCACCTAACCGTTTCCACACAACCAGTAGCCAGAGGACTGGAAATTTCCATGCCATGGAAGAAGAGACAGACCTGGAAGAAAGGGTTGAAGAGCTTATGAGGTTGGTTGAAATGACTATTCAGTTATTTTTACTGTTGAGGTTTAAGTCACCAAAGGCAGCTTTCCATCTTTTGTAGAATAATGACCTGTCTCATGTTAGCCAACTCTGTGTTGAGCAGCGCCTGGTGTAGTTCAGGAGCCCCATCTATGGCGTGATGTAATATATTCAAAACTAGGAAGGTAACCAGCATTTTTGTTTTAAATCTTATAGCAATAGATTTTAGTGGCTGATGATAGGGGCATGTGGAACTTAGATACAGAGCCACCTTGATTTAAGCTCGAAGGGGCTGAGCAGCCTCTTCCTGTTTCTGTGTAGCACCGTTATTGGGGTTCCAGTGCAGTGGATGTGTACAGCTCTACTTAAATGTGCAGCAGGACAGTTGATTCCGTCCTCTGAGATTTGGCTGGTATTTGAATGGTTTTATCATTGGCACATCTCCCAGTGTTTGTGGGACAGTTACGTAATGCTGAAATGCTAAAAAGCCTGACAGGCACTAAAACAAGCCAACCAAATGGCTGTGTTTAAAAACAGAATTTTGAAGGCAAAAGCAGGATTTGAGAGTGGGGTACTCCTCACTGTTACAAACTTAGAGTCTTTACAGGGTGGCATATCTCTTACTCATAATAAGGTAGTTCTGTTTTAATGCATTAATCGACCAACCCACTCATTACTTGGAAACGGAGATGGAAAGAAATTCACTCTCCAAAACTTTGAAACGTTACATAGAAACCTTTAATGTTATTTTTTCCCTCCTTTTGTTTACATTCTGTAGGAGGGACAGCACTGCTGTTAAAGAAGAGATAAAGAGCTTTCTTTCTAATCGGATGATTTCCCAGACTATCGTGGGCCAGGTCACAGGTGAGGAGGCAGCTAGCCAACCTGTGCTTGAGATTGACGTGCTTTTTACAAAGAAAAATACTCAAAACTCTTCTGAATTGTGCAGCCAGTTTGTTGTACTGTAAACCTGTTGGGTCTTTGAAAATGTATGTAAAACTTCCTAATTCACATGGACCTTCTAGGTTAGTTGTAACTTTATGCCAAGCTTTTTCAAAGCAAAAGCTCGACCTTCTTGCTTTGTCCAGTTAACACCAGCAGAAAAGGAGCAAGTGGTGAAGAGTGAAATGAATCCAAACAGTGAAACCAGCATGAGAATGAAGAAAGTCCATTACTTCGGGTGGGGTGTGTCCTTCCTGTTCCAGGAGTTGCTAAGAAGTTTATTAGCACTGCAGCTACATTTCTGCTGAGAACTTCCTTAGAGGTCAAGTTAAAAATTTAAAACTCCCTTTATATTTGCGGCCACATGACGAGAGGATGGTGCCATCATGGGTGGATGTTGTCTAAATGTAGCAACTGAAAGACCATACTGGCAGGACAGAGAAACAAACTTTATTTTATATATCCAAAAGTGCTTCACAGCTGACAATTTTCAAAATATTTGTTTTGCCGTGCACTCACAAGTTAATTTGTCTTCCATCTCGTTGCTGTTTGTTGGATGTTGCTGGTGTCAAAATAGCTGTTACATTTTCCTAAATGACAGTAGCCACTGCACTCGGGAACCAATTTGTTAAGTTGATTGATTTGATTTATTGTCACGTGTACTTTAGTGCTTTGTTCACTGTACTTGGATACATGTGACAATAAATCAAATCAATCAATCAACTTGACAAATTGGTGAAATATTTTGTGATATAGCACCATGTAAATTAACTTTTCTGTTTGAATTCACTCTTTGGAACCCAACCTCAACCATAACTGAGTAATTCCTGCCCAGATCAGGTGGCTGTGGAGTTCTTGGATTCATTTGTCCAAGAAATATGTCATCCTTTTTGCTTTGGGAACTTCAAGTTAGCTCCAACAGCACCTGATCTCTGGCTGGAGGAAAGGAAGAATGGACCTTCCCTTTCGCTCCGTTTTCCTTTCAGCCAAGTCCAGCTGGATGATGAGACAGCTTCACAGCCAAGCTCAAACCTGTCTGTAACAGTTCTTATATAGGTCCATACAGTGGTTGGGAATCAACAGCAATGGTTACTCAGCTGAGGTGCCAAAGTGCTGTCATGGGTCCCATGGGACTATTCCTGGATGAGAGAGAAGGAACCAAATTCACTTCAAGGAAAAAAAAGCCAGCCAGTGGTCCAAGTGTGCAAAGCATTAACTGCGTGGCAACTTTTCTGTGGTTGCAGGCATGAGTCGAAGCTTCATTTCCCAGTGGCTCTTGCAGCAAGGACTTGACATGAGTGAACCCAAGAAGCGGACTTTATACAGATGGTACCTCCTGGAGAAGATGAATCCAGGTATTGGATAACTCAAGTTTACTTCTAAACACTCTGTTGCCAATTCTGTATTGCCAACACTCTGTGGTCTCAGACCAGGTCTGAACTGGGGCTCTCGGCAGAGCCCTATCTCCCGGGTGTAGTCAAATGCAGTGGATATTTGGTTGCAGGGTGAAGAGGCTGTTAACAATGCTCAGTTGAGATTTTACCACGGGAACACAGTTACAGATTTTGCAGACAAAAGATCAATGGCTACAGACAGTTGTCAAATTGATGCTAGAAACTCCAGCCATGAGAGTTGAATTAACCCAAATGTACCCATGCAGCAAGACCTGGTAAACGTCCAGGCTTGGGCTAATAATTTTCAAGAAACTGTCATGCATGCAATTGATAGGCAATGACTGTCTCCAACAAAAGAGAATTTACCCATTACCCCTTGATGTTCAATGGCATTACTATCCCTGAATTGCCCACTATCAACATCTTGGGAGGATGTTGGCTTCCATTGATCAGAAACTGAAGTGGGACAACCTATAAATGTTGAAGTTACATAAATAGGTTAGAGGTCAGGAATTCCGAAGCCAGAAGCTTGGCTCATATTTTCCTTAATGCCTGTGTTGCTGTAGCAAAACTCTCGAAGGTTGACACCAACCAGGACAAAGCACTGTGCTTGATTGGTATCCCATCCACCACCTTTAATATTCACTCCCTCCACCACCTATGCACAGTGGCAGCAAACTGGACCATCTGCAAGATGTACTGCAATAATTCAGTAATGTTCCTTCAACAGCACTTTCCAAACCTGTGACGACTACCACCTGGAAGGACAAGTACAACAATTGAATGGGAACACCACCACCTGCAAGTTCCCCTCTAAGCTGCATACTATCCTAACATGGAACTAAATCAATGTTTTATCACTCGGTCAAAATCCTGGAACACCCACCCTAACTAAGTGTGACCCTACATCACAAGGACTGCTGAGGTTCAAGAAGGCAGGTCACCACTGCCATCAGCCCCAGGGCAATTAGGAATAGTCAATAAATGGTGGCCTAGTCAATAAATGGTGGTCTAGCCAATAACACCCACATCTGTCCAACAAATAATCCTGATTGGTATTTGATTTCAGTTTTCCTTTTTGTGACAATAAGGCAGAGTTGAGATACAGACCCCTCCAAGACTGAAAAAGAAAAGAAAGGGTCAGAAGTAGTGACAATGTGATAACAAGCTTGGGTTTGAAGATTTTGGGTTATAGCAGGAAAGAAAAGCTTTAAAAGTGAAAAGTTCAAATTTTGGGCACCTGGGAATCAGTGCATTAAAATGGAAGATGGGCAATTTGAAATAAAGTTTGCCTTAATCCTGCAACCATGAAAATTTCTTGGCTTTGAGTATGCCTTCAATTGGCTGACTTGTAGAGGATGGTTATTTTGCATTTTATAGAAGTATAGATCCAGGCTAGAACCCACAACTGAAATGTCAAAGGTAAAGATGAGAATGTTTTACAAATTTCAGCCAACGAAGGGAATGAGAGACTCGTTGCTCAAAAAAAAAATCAGTCCTTTGAGCTGATATTTTGATTGTTGAGTGTCTTTCCTTTTCTTGTTTGGAGGAGCTACCCTAAACATGAGGCCAGCCTCATCCACCACGGAGGAACCAGAGTGGAAACAATCAACACCACCCGTTGGTGCCACATCGGGCAACTTCCGTCTCCGAAGGGGCAGCCGATTCACCTGGCGGAAGGAGTGCCTAACTGTCATGGAAAGGTACCTGCTGCTGCCCAAGATCCTTGTTTCGTTGTCATTATCGTTGCATTAATACACATTCACGTGCGCGTGATGCATAATGATGGTGTGTGAGTTTGATATTAAACACTTCAGTTGCTGCAGTCTGAGTGCAAACACACCCTAAGGGTTTTGACAGCAGAAGTTCTGAGAGCATTTATCCATCAGTAGCTGTACAAATGTGGTGGTCTACACTCGATTGTGATATGGGTCTGTGCTGATGTCAGAGGTTTCAATGCTGAATGTAGCACAGCTACTTAGCTGAATCTTTCCCGTGCACTACCCCTGATAATATTGGAATGATGGCATTGAATGCTGTCAAATCTATTTTGAGTGGTGATGTGCTTTAAAATGAGGCCCAGCGTAACTATTCATACTGCAGGTAAACTTCACTAAATTCCCATTGTTCCTCTCACAGCCAGCTCCTCATTTCATTTGTGTTGTACACAAACTACAGAATAGCCCATTAATTTGCACTGTTCCCCTGTTCCCCAGTTCCCCTGCTGCAGTGTCACAGTTTCTGGTACTCAAACATTCAGCTGATTCTTGGTGAAGCAGGTTCTCTGAGTGACAGGAGCAAGGTGCATCACGGGAACTGCAGTAGTTGCACAGTAAAGAAATACACATCTGAAATTTAAAGCATATTGAGTAAAATCTAGCTGTAATATTATTATGTAGCTGTAATATTATTATGTAACTGTAACCTTCTTTCCTTTATTCAGTTACTTCAATGATAACCAATACCCAGATGAAGCTAAGAGAGAGGAGATTTCAAATGCTTGTAATGCAGTCATACAGAAACCAGGTACAGAGCAGTGTGTTTAAGATGATGATGATGATGATTTGGACCTTAGAATTAATGTCACTTAGGGCTCAGGTTTTGCTGTTGTCAGTCTGACTCGAAAGGTTCTGGGTTCATATCCCACTCCAGAGATTTAAACACAAATTCTCTGTTTGATACTCCAGCACGTACTAAGTGCTACAGTGTCAGAGTTGTCTCTGTTCAGAGAGATTAAACTGATCTTATCCACCAACCCAGTGCTCTCGGGCAGACATAAAGGTCCATGGCCATCTCTTCAAACAAGAGTTATCCTCTCTCCTGGCCAATATTTATCAACATCTCAAAGTCAGAAATTAGTACTGAGACATTTCTAAATAAAAACCAAAAGAAGTGCGGATGCTGTAAATCAGGAACAAAAACAAAGTTGCTGGAAAAGCTCAGCAGGTCTGGCAGCATCTGTGAAGGAGAAAACAGAGTTAACGTTTTGGGTCCGGTGACCCTTCCTCAGAACTGATGGTGGCTGGGAAAATGTCAGTTTATATGCAGAAAATAGGGAGGTGGGTGGGGTAGGGAGTAAACGATAGGATAGACCCCAAAGAGAGAGAAAGATAGTTGGAC